ATCCGAGATCAGTACAAGAATTTGGGGGAACTAGGGAGAATTATGGGTCTAGAGGGCCTCCCTTGGGTTTATCAGAAACCGTTGGAGATGTTTGAGGGAGTGGATCTGAACCGTTTGAGAGCAGGAAATGTTTTTCTACTGGTAGAGTCCGTTACATTTTTTTTCCCCCAACGGGTACTAACCCNTTGAGGGAGTGGATCTGAACCGTTTGAGAGCAGGAAATGTTTTTCTACTGGTAGAGTCCGTTACATTTTTTTTGCCCCAACGGGTACTAACCCGTAGGAAGCAGCATTCGACCAGCTGGTAGCTCAATACAAAGTTCCAACAATTTTTTTGATTCTATTTTTTTATTTCTCCTCTTCAAAATAAAGTAAAACAAAACTAATTCGAACCCCAAGCCATAAAACTCAAAGTGGATCCAATTAAGTCCTTAGTCTTATTCCACAGTGAGCCAAATTCTTAGTATCTGCAACCTACAAAGCTCAATAATCAGTCATGTTGATTGCCAAATTCAACAGAAAATTAAAATTGCACGCCACTTTCTTTTGCAGCATGAATACATTTAGCTTATGCACACCGCCGTCACACCCCTAGGTTACTTCAGGCAGAAGAATGTTGTCTCATGAAAGTTTCTAGAGAAGACGCCTACTAACTTCAACCGATCTGTCTAAAGTTTTAATCATTTTCCCGTAATCACCATGAAAGCAAAGACATACCATATCTACTCAATCTAGTTCACACATAGCTCTACCAACGGCACAAAGGCAGTGTAAGAGTATTCACAATGATGTTCGAATCCCACACCCGTGTTTGTGAGATACGATCGTGCAAGTGAAGAGATTCGCAAAACAAGGTTCATTTCCCAATTATGGATCCAAATTTAGGTCTTTGGCCAAACTAACCAAAGTTTTCACACACAGAAATTGAATTCTCTGACTGTCACGATCGCGCCACTCACAATTACACGTGAGGACCCAATTGATGTAATCAAACAAATTTTACACACATTTTTCAAAAGAGTAGAACAAATCCGCCTGTTGGAATGACCAAGGCATAATCCCACGAAATGAATGTTAACCAACNTAACTGAGAAGATCACTTACCCTTAGTGGAATTCGCCTACAATAGCAGTTATCAGAAGAGCATACAGATGACACCCTCTGAGGCACTTTATGGAAGGCCTTGTCATTCTTCGGTCTATTGGACGGAGGTGGGAGAGAGACCCTCTGCGGGTTTGAATTTAATTAGAGACACCTCGGAGAAGTTGGACTTGATTCAGAACCGTCTTCTTACAGCTCTGAGCCGGCAGAAGAGTTATGCCGACAAACAGTGGCAACCTCTAGAGTTTGAGGTAGGACGTCACGTCTTCTTAAAGGTGATGCCTGAGAGAGGTGTGGTTAGGTTCAAAAAATGATGGAAGCTGTAGTCGAGGTTTATTGAGTCTTTCGAGGTACTCGAGAGGNTTTGAGGTAGGACGTCACGTCTTCTTAAAGGTGATGCCTGAGAGAGGTGTGGTTAGGTTCAAAAAATGATGGAAGCTGTAGTCGAGGTTTATTGAGTCTTTCGAGGTACTCGAGAGGGTGGGTACAGTGGCCTATCGGTTGGCATTATCGCCAAATCTATCGGGCATTCATATGGTATTTCATGTCTCTATGCTCCGAAAATACACCCCGGATCCGAATCATGTGGTGGATTGGAGAGAGCATGTTGTTGATGCTGATGGGACCTTCGAGGACGGACCGTTGCGCATCATTGATAGTAGGGATCAGGTTTTGCGAGGCAAGACTGTGAGGCTAGTGAAGGTGCTATGACAGCACTGAGGAGTGGAGGAGGCGACATGGGAGCGTGAGGATACCATACATACCAACTATATGTTCCTGTTCGAGAATGGAGGTACAAGTTTTATAATTTTAAGTATAATTTCATTGTTGCATATGCATGTGGTTAAGTGTGTGTGTGAATTTCGGGGACGAAATTATTTTAAGGGAAAAGAATGTAAAACCCGGTAAATTTAAAATTTTTACAAAAAGGGTAAAATGGTAAATTATCGCTATAGTACAGGTTGAAAACATGAATCTTTCTAGATCTCGGATGATGAAACGGACCTCACCGTTGAATTCGTCTCGCGGAATCTAGTTACCCTGTCAAATTTCATCGAATTCAGAGATAGTCAGATGTTTTATATTTTACTAGACGGACGATTCTCGAGTGACCTAAAAACGGGATTTCTATTAAAATTTTGAAATTTGAAAAATAATTTAAGGCCAATTAAAGAAAAAATTAATTTGAACTTGAACCGGGGTAAAATTTAATCGTTTTGGGACAAAACTGACCCGAGGAAAAGAGGGTCGTGTGGCACAATATGGGCCAAGCATTCTAAGACTATAAAAATGGGGAAAATCTGATTTTTTGCTCCATTGGGTGTTCAGCTGGTTAGCCGATAGAGAAGAGAGGGAAAATAGAGAAAGAACTCCACCTTTTCTCTACGATCTACAAGATTCTAGAGCTCAAATCTACACGAACCAAGAATTAAAGTTGTTCCTCTCGTCGAGGGCCACACGTCTATACTGAAAAAAACGGGTTTCACCGAAGATTCCAAGGGTAGGATTTTGGAAAATCAAAATTTTGGACTTAGAGGATATTCTTGAAGGTTCTACCTTCGGTTTTACGCTTCAAGAGGTAGGGTTCCTTCCTACTTAGGTTTATTTAACAACCTAGGGTATAGTATGTAATAGGTATGTGGATAAAAAGATTTTATCATTACCTATGATGTGGAAATTGATGAAATGGGTATTGAAATTGGATAAAATAAAATTTTACCTTGAAATGGGTTGTGAATTAGACTCAATGTGATCCATGAAATTGGGTGTTATGTCGGCATGTTATGTGTTTATTTTATGCCTTGGGAATTAATGTGTTGTTAGCACATGTTATGTAACAATATTCTTGTGAGTTGTTGAAAATGAAATATTGATATATAACATTGTGAGAAAGTTTGGTAATTATATGCTTCAGATATGAATTGTCATGGAACTTGTTTGAATGTAGTTAATTTTGCTCATGTGGCATTCTATACATATGGGCATGACATGGATTAGGCAATGGTGCATTACATTGCATTTGCACGGGGGAAACACATCCATAGCCTTAAGTGTGGGTGTGTGTGTGTATGGTAGATATCAAACACCAAATAGGTGGTTGACGAGTGGGCTCGGGAAAGTTGGATTGAATATCTGACTGAGTCGCACGGTTGCATGAAAAAGAATTGGGTTGGGGTTAGCAAGAAGGGCTAGACTATCCCTCGAGTGAGAGGCACGGTATTTTGGATACGCACTTTTGTGGGTACAAGAGCCATAAAGTGTGTCGGTGTACGCGAAACCGTTGGTGGAAGTCCATCAAATCTGTATCGGTTGGGTGACCGTTGGTGTAAGTCCATAAATTCCCAGCCCAAGAAAGACCTGAAGAATTTTAAATAGTCATTGGGTGTAACACAAATGGTGGGGGACTTGGAAAGGCCGGTTTTTTTATGCTCACTCCGTAGCATGGGGTGAAGGTAAATGACCAGACACATTGGCATTGTATCTGTTGTAGAGCTGGGAAGGGCTTGGGTAAATTGCATAAATGGACATCATTTCATTTCATGGCATGACATGTTAGATTCTAACTTTGATTTTCTTAAATCTTGGTTGGAAGGATTTTTGTTGGAAAATGTGGTATGTGAACATTGCATATGCACCTAGGTTGGGGAATAGACTCTATACGAAACATTCTATTGGGCGTTGGCTCACCCTATATGGGAAACATTTCAGGTGTGGGGTTCGTTCCGGTGGAGGACACTCATTCGGGGCCTCGAGGGTGAAGAAGAGCTGGCTTGTGGCTTTTGAAAAGAAGTCTTGTAAAACTTTTGTTAAAAACTACGTTTTGACAGGTAAATGTATGAATCAAATGTGATAGAACTTGTATGGATCATGTATAATGTAGAAAACTATATTTTACATGTTGGGAATGAGTTTGGAAATGTTTTGGACGAATTGAAAATGAAAAATAGGTGAAACAGACAATTATGGGCAAAACCTTCCTGAAGGTCGAAACAAACCTTCCGGATGTTCTGGACAAAGACAAGGAAAATCAAGAACAATGGGTGAAACCTTTCGAAAGGTCTATTCTAACCTTCTGGAAGGTCTTCACATTTTTCTAAAATGAGGGAATCGAGTGTGTAACTTCTTCCAGAAGGTTTAACACATCTTCCGGAAGGTCGATGACAAACCCCTGAAGGAACTTTTCCAGTAAGAAAAACCTTCCGGAAGATTTTCCAAAGATCTGAAATTTTAAGAATGCATTGCCATGCTTTTGGACTATGTGTTCTTTGATTCCAATGACACAAATGGACCTTAAATGAGATACATTGGGGGTATATTGAACCTCGATGAGACTAAATGATTAAAGAAACACAGGTCACATGTGTGAGTTATAATCCTGGAAAAAGGGATGTTGTTGACGTGATGCCAGAATGGACAACAATCACGGGTAATTCCGCGGGTTGATGGGTGATCAACGGATTAACAAAGGATCCCTAGATTTTGGGGCACCACAAATTCTAAATTTGTAACAATTATTCACCCCTTCTAGGTAATGTGTCTATAGCTCCAAATGTATAATTGCGAGGGAAGATCCACATTGGATACCCCCTCTAGAAACATCAAGGACCTAGCCTTTCTTGCTACAAAGTTAATTTTTTTTTAAGGCTAGAGGTGTTGAGTTCTCTATGCCAAAGATTAAGTTGAGTCGACTTATAAATCCTAAGGATGTAAGAGAGAAAAACAAAGAGGAATAAAATTTTAGCAAGGGGCAGAGAAAAGGGGGCAAGAGACCCAATGCTTTGAGTGCCAAGGGTTTGGTCATTTGTCTACGAGATCGATAGTGAGTCAAAGTTCACATTTAGTGAGGACTCTTCTTCTCAAGAATATGAGGAGAATTCTATGGTTTTTGTGGGCTCACAGTCCTCCCCCACCAATAGAAACTACAAGAGATAGAGTTGAGAAAGAGGAAGAAGATGAGAGACAACGTGTTGAGGATATCTATAATGCATATGATCAATTATGTGAAGAATTTCTCAAGCAAAAGAAGAGAGTGCTATCATTGAGTTCGAGTCTCAACACAAACGAAGAAAAGAAGAAAGCACTCCATGTTGAATTAGTGAAGTCCAAAGCTCATATTTGTATGCTTGAAGAGAATAAGTCCTTGAAGAACAATTTGGACTTTTCGGAGAGAGTTTCATAGACTAGTAGAGTCCAAGAAAGGTCTAAAGTTTAAATTTTGAACTTGATAGAGACCTTCAAAATTCAAAGGAACTCTCCAAACAACTTTCTTTAGGGTCTAAAAAATTAGATAAAATATCATCGTGGTTTAGGGTACACAAATGAGCACGCCATCACCACTCCTTCTGCAAATCCATCACCCCCCTGAGTGAACAATAGTTCCCAAAAGGCTAAAATTGGCAATAACGGCAAGAACTTAAAGTAGTCGAGTATTAAGGAACCCTATTCTAAACAACTTATTTACTTCACTTTTGGAAAGCACAGTCACTATAGCACACATTGCATGCACAATAATGAAGTCATGACTGAAAAGCTCATATACACCTAGCTAACCAATCAAAAGCCTTGAATGACCAAGTCATAAATCTTACCAAGCTTATGGGTAGGTCTAGTGAGTCTAAGCCTAGGAATGTCTCACGTAACAGAGGCTCACTAGCTAGGTTGAGCAAGGCTCCTTCTACTCCCAAAATTAAAACTGACTTAGAAACTTCCAGATAGAATGGAGTGAATCCTCCACTCATTCCCCGTAATAACCCGAGATATTGGAAGAGAAAATAAGTTTGGGTATGAAATGAGGACCTTGAGAGGCAAATCACCTCAACCAAATTGGAGTCCCGTGGGCTACCAATGCGGTTGAGTCACCTAAGAAATAGGTGAGGTGAGAGTGTAGACCTAGATGTATAACCATGCATTGAATCCTATATCTTAGGTTCATGCACTATAAGTATTTTTCTTTGTTTATTTTACTTTTATTTTTTCATATATGAAAAATACAAAAAAAAATAGACATAAAAAATTCAAAAGAGTTTTGATGTCTAACTTGACATCCTTTTTGGATTTATTGGTAGTTGCTTTATTTTTCCTTTGTTATTGCATTTTATGCATTTTTTTAGGGTATTTTTGAAAAAAATAAAAACAAATTAGAAAGTCAAAAATCAAAAAGATTTTCTTTTGTTATTTTTGTGTTGTTAGTTATGGTAATCACACTTTGATTCAAATTGTAGCTTTTCCATCATTAAATCAAAGTGCATTACTATGAGTCAGGGATAGAGAAATTAGTGGTTATAAGCCTTGGTTCTTGATCATTAAACCAAGTATCTTTCACCCTATTGTGCTCAGATAGTGTTATACTTTGTGGGAAATCATAAAATAAAGTGCACAACCAACCATTCACGTTCATACTTATGAGTCTCACTAGTTTGAATGATTAATGACCTTACATGACTCCAAGTGTTGATGATAGGCGAACACATAGTTAAAGGTTAGTAAAACTCCAAATCCCTCAAAAGATGCCTATGAACCAAATGTGATAAAAGAGCCCAATATGGCAAAATATAAAATGTGAGGCATAAAAAATAATAGCTAGTATCAATTGTGTTTAAATTGTTGAGAGTACTATATGCTTAATTATTCATGCTCACATGTAAAGGTCACACAGCTAACCCACACACATTTACAATCATAATTTGTAAAGAATAGAAACCATAGTTGTGCTAATTCAGACCATTAAGCGTATATGGGATGTAAAAAGATAGGAGGAGTGTCTAAAAGAAGAGAAAAATAAATTTTCGAATAAGACACTCATTTACAAGTTATGTGTTCACTTAGACAATGCAATAGAAATTCTATAGTGCTTTATTAATGATTTGATCTAAATGAATTTCTAACTATGTCGAAGTTTGTTTCACACACGTTACACATGAATTGATCAAAGATACAAAATTTGAGCACATGTGAGTGAAATTAAACTAAGTGAGAGGAAATTTCTCTAGGTTGCATGAAAATTGAGGTCTCAATTCATTAATATGCCTTAGAGTAATGTGTGAAGACGATGAAATATGGATACATATACTATGATATGAAATTGTGTGAGTTTTATAATTAATGACTTTGTGCATTTACTTTGAATTTGAAAATTTAGTTTCATTTTTAGATCCTAGTTTCATTCATGCATGTGAATTTAGTTGCGTTTTAATGTATACATACATTCATGCATGATTTGGACGCTCAATGTTTTGATTAGAGGATATTAGTGGGCCGAAGGGTACTAGTATTTGAAACTCGCAGCTATGCAGGAAAGTTTCAATGATCACTTCACTGACCCACACACTGCTCGAGTGCCCTAAGTAGTCAGTCAGACTCAATGCTTTAAAATCGTATCTTGCTTTATTCTATCTCACACTACTCCACTCGAAAACAGAGCCTAATCTCATTTCTCACCTACCCAAGGTTAACGCCCTCCCTTAAACATCTTCTAGAGTGATTATAGGAGTATGGCATCTTTAAATCTTTCATATTCACTAGATTTTGCGCCTTTTCATCAATTGTTTTTTTTGGGAAATGCATTCTCAAACTAAAAAATGAGCTCAGGCACGTGTGTTTGATCAGAGGAGTCGCTTCTAGAATCCACATTACCGTGATTCATATAGAAGGCAATATGCTTCGAGACTTGTAATCTTGGAACGAGGAGTAAACTTCATTGGGCTGAGAAATATTTCTATTCCTTTGAATTTTGAGTCAAAAGGGTGGTCTCAACTCTTTGTGGCCCCAAAGCCAATGAATGATAACATTGTTAGGCAGTTCTATGCACATATTAGAAACACAACTGTTGATAGTGAACATTTCGCTACATATGTTCGCGGTGATTTATTTGAACTCTCTGTTGATATGATTACCACCACTCTACACCTAACTCAAGTACCTAATGATGCCTATAGACAATTGGGTTGTGGTTTAATCACTGGACATATGATTTTTTCCATTTATATAATGGGTTATTCGGGTTGTTGGTGAAAAGGGGTTCACATACTTAATTGGCTAATTAATTTGTTAATTGGTCACTGTGGTCGATTAGCTTTAGAATTGGTGATTGTTCCATCCCCCTTTCTAAATTCACATGAAACTAATTGTAAGACACCATACAAAATTTAAAGATGGATAATATGATATTAATATTAATTCCAAAAGCATGATAGAAACTTTGAATCATTGGTGAAAGATTGATCATGAAGTTTAGGTTTCGTGCGTATTGACTTTCGTGTCAAATTTAGTTTCGAAAGTGTTTAACCTTGGGAAGTGTGGATAGGTAAGTTTCTAAATGTGTTTCTGTCCAAATAAGGCTACAATTGAATCCGTAAGTCCGATAAACCTTGGGATAAGTGATATGGGGTGTATGAGAAGTTTGAAAATATTTAGAAGTAAAAAACACATTTTGAAGAGATTTTGGGTGGAAAGGAATTAGACACTACCACTACCTTAGTATTTTAGACATAACTTTTTATCCTAATTTCTGATTGATTTGATTTTTAGCTAGTAGAAACTCGACTTCAAGGGCTATAAAATTGTATTTCATGAAAATTTTGTGAATCAACTTCTAATTAAGCCAAAACTTCCTTTAATGTACTGGAAGAAAATGGAGCCCGTTTAAATGCGAATGGATCCATTTGAACGCCACATCTAATGAATTTTTCAAGAAAGAACATGAGATACTTGGAGAAAATCCCATTTCAACACCAAAGACTCCATTCGAACACACTAGGTACTGTTCAAATTCCAAGCTCTCCATTCGAATGTGCTTATGCAATTCTATATATCAAATCTACGTCACCTGGCAAAATCTACGATGGGGCTATGATGAAAGTATAATATTGCATATTATAGGCCTCATAATCTTTATCTTGGTCATGCTAGTCACTTAATTCCTTTTGTTTTAATTGAGATTTTCATTTTATAGTGAATTTGAGTGTTTGCAGTTAAATTGGCATAAAAACGTGGAATTGCACTTCTTTCAGTGTCATGAGGACTTGGAAGATGAGCAAAGAGACCTAGGAGTGAAGCCAAGATCACAACAAGCATAATTGAGAAATGAGAAAAGACCCTTTCTACCGGTAGGTCTTCTACTGATACAACGAAGGCCAAAAGTTGGTTCTACCAGTAGGAGTTCAATCCTACTGGTATGTTCAAAATAGAGAGTTGTTCTACCAATAGGTAGGTATTGTTCTACCGGTAGGTTGAAGATAGAAATGTGTTGTACCACTAGTAGAGCAAGGCAACTTGTAGGAGGAAAACAGTGAAGAATCCTACCGGTAGGTCATTTTCTGCTTCCTACCTATTGTTTACTGTAATTTTGGTAATTAAAAATCCTAAGGAAGGGAATTGGTTGAATTATTTTAAGGGCAATGATTGGTAGAAAAAAGGGAGAAAAATCAACAGGAAATCCCCTATAAATACCCAAGTCTAGCAAGAGAGAGGAAAACTCGATTCTATCACTCAATTCACCATTCTTTTCTTTTCTCTTTCCTTGGGCTTTAGATTTTCTTCTTCTTCTTTTAAGCTTTCTCCATTGTTGTACTTTAAAATCTTTGTTTCAATTCAAGTATTAAATTCTAGCAAACACAATAACATTTGGTTCCTTTCTACAAGCGATTTACATTCATTACAATTTCAATACAAGGTATTTACTTTTCTTGCAATTTTAATTCTTGTCTTTTTTTTTTCATTTACAATGTTTTTTCTTTAATTGCTTTCAATTTCAATTCAGTAATAGGTGAGTAGTCATTCACCGGTTTGATCGAATGAAGTAATGTCATTTGTGAATTGGGGATTTTGACTCAAAATTAGAGATTGTCTACTGTCGAGTTATTTGGGTTAATTAAATGTTTAAATGGAAGATGCTATCAAATTGTATATCTTCTTGCTTACTCGTCGACAACTAAGACTTGGCACGGGTAATTCATTAATTGCTACAATCGAAGTAAATTCCTTTTGATCAATTCAATTGTCTTGAATGCACATTTGTCATTTATAATAGGGTGTTAAATGAATATTTACCGCTTGAGTAGTTTGACCACAATCTCGACTAAGTTATAGAGTTTGAGTCAAAAAGCTTATTGATGGAGGAGTGATCTCTACCGGTCAATTTGTTCTTATCTTTAATTGTTATTTCTTAAAAGTAATCAATTT